CATCGTTCGATTGAATGATGCGAATACCCTGTGCTAGCGGAAGCGCCGCAGCGGCGAGGACAAGGAAGGAACGCATATTGAAGAAGAGAGTGGATAATCGAGCGAAGATGGCCAAAATAGCAAGGAGAGATGCAACTACTCAACCTGTACCTACGAGAAGGAAGTTACGTGGGAGGAGATCGACGTTTATACCTGCAATGTTTGGAGGCCGAGTACCTCCTTAGCTCACCAGTTGCTAGCCTCGTAGCTGCGCAAACGCCAATGGTAAACGGTGCATGAAGCAAGCATTTCGGAGACGTGAAACGTGCCGGAGCTCACGCTCTGATTGAGTAACGGTATATTGCGTACGCCGCGAATGACGGCTTTTGGGCTGTGAGTGGTGGTGGTCGTCCGACGCGGCGACGTCTGCGGAGGTTGCGTGCAAGGATGGCTCGGCAGGGGCGCGACCTATTGGGAAGGCGCGCCCGACACACCATTCACACGTGCGAATCTTATGAGGTGTTATTCACTGGCGACTTGCATGTGCATTGAGTAGTGGAAGCTATCGCATGCGTAAACCATGTGTTGGTCGAGATGATTCTGTCTTGCGGCTTCCTCTCACGACCACGCCACGAATTTGTCAATACTTAGGAGCCCGCCTCGAGGGTCGCCAATATCCTGACGAAATAGAGGTCACAAGGTATGCGCACGCATCTAGATCCTACTAGTCTTGACGGAATGTGGTCGGGGACGTCAATTTGCCGACTCGTGGAATGTCGTTCAATACACAGTAGAAGTGCTAGTATGTAGGGTATCGCGGTCAACGGTCATGTTCTATACGAGGCGGGCGTTCGGTCTCGAGTGAGGTGCATGCAGTAGTTCATCGGAACTCGTTCTATAGTAGACAAGCCTCGCAGTAGCCTCCATGAAGAGGAGGTGGGTATCTGTTGTAATCCTAGCCAACACCGTCCAAAGCAAAGCATCCTATCCCCTCTTCGCAAGGCACTCAAGTCGTGGCGCTGGAGTAAAACATCCAAGGCTATTTGCTTAGCGAGTCTCTCTGAGAATAATGCCCTCCGCGACGCCCAGATTCGTGTGCGCAGTATCCAGATATCTTCGCCACATAGCTTATGACTCCCCTCTATGCTTTTGTCAAACCTCGCCATTCTTTTTTCTGCCACCTCAGACAATATGCGCAGGCTTGGCTGGCTGTTGGTAGTAGCCTGACGCACCACCCCCTTGGTATGGCGGAACGTATTGGCTCTGAAGCTCGACAGGCGCGCCACTTTGCGAGTGGTATTCGGTTCCTTGGTGATATGGAGATGCGCTCTGGTATGGTGGAGGCTGACCAAAGGGCGCCGGCGCCGAAGGGTTGAGGGCTGGGACATATTGGCCACGCTGACCAGCCTGCTTCGCACGACGGTACACAACGATAGAGTAGATGAGGGGGCCGACGAAGATGGCGCTGCTCATGTTAGTGATCTGTAGACAGCTTTGCGATATGACGACTTACAGCACCAAGACGCTGAAGCCAATAGCCACAGTGTCTGCGCCTCTCCCAATAGCTGCAAGGTTTACGATGAAGGCTCCACCCCAGAAACCGGTCTGGAAGCAGTTCATCGTGAGGAAGGTGCCCGGCTTTAACGCGTCTCGGAGGAAGAGGACGATAGCGAGTATGTCGACCAGCAGCACGATGACGACGCAGAGCAGATATATGATAACCGGTCTGGGGGACATTAGTGCTTCAACTCCAGTAAGGGTCTACATAACTTACGCGACAGTGGGCTTTACGATATCCTGGACTTCATTTATGTGTCGCAATGTATACGCGAAAGCAGCGATGGTAAATATCATGAGGCATATCCTAACGAGCCAGAAAGGGACGAGGACACGCTTCTTCCAGAGCGCTGGTTGTTGTTTTTGGGCCATGATGTCGTCCTGGGCGTTGTTATGCGCTGCAAAGTTGGGCCTGAAAACTGTGTATTGCTGAGGTTGATGGACTGAGGACCTAGCTGCGCACAATTGTGGTTATCGAAGCTTTTCAAGGGAAGATGTGCGGCTGGGATTCAGGGTTCAGGGGAAGGAGTGCCTGTGCTCGGTGAGCGACGTGAAACGCGCGTTGGCCCCGCGCATCTTCATCTCCCTATTTGCAAGTGACTGAGCTCCGTGATTGATGATACCGAACATGCAGTGCAAACTAATGCTCCCTGACTTGAAATTCGCTGCCTGACGTTACTCGGTGGATGTGAAGCGGCGCAGTCTCTCACGGGTATTTCATGCAAGGCAAGGTCCGCCCCGCCGCGAACTTTGCGGGGATCAACGTGTGATCGGCGGAAGGCAGTGGGCTGCGTGGCTGAAACACAAATTGGAGCGCTAAGCATTTGGTTGCCGATCTAATACGCGTTCGCCGAGTGAACTGCCAAGATGACTTGTTGTGCAAACATGGCAAACTCAAACGGCAGGTGCCGATTCCTGCCATCTGACATGAGTGGAGCTCTCGGTAAGTCGCGAAAGCAAGAAATGAAGATATATTACCCTGTCTATCTATAGAGAATTTTTAGGATTTAGAACATCTCTTATATACATTAATGTAGTCGCCAGGCTTGATCTTTTTCTGGCTTTCACGATTTACCAAGAGTGGGGCTGGCACGAGACCCTTGCACGCGACGCATCGACCCGGCGATAAGCTCGATAAGAGCGTGCACCATAGTGGACAGCACTCCAATCTTACAACCATAGTCACTATCAATCACAGCTCTTAGGTGCCAGCTCAGACCCCTTCAGAACAACCAGTAGATACAAACGTCGTAGACATGGGTGCGAATCAGTCAAGACCGTCGGATGCCGCGATCAATGAGAAGCTCGTCGAGCGACTCCAAGCACTTCAGATGAAAGACGAGAGAAGCATAAGTGAAAAGGATGGTTTCGTTGTCGTCGGCGGTGAAGCTCGTAAGCTTTCACATGGTTCGGAGTCGATATATACCCGTCTTAACTAATGCGCGTGAAGCTCCTAGATACACACCCACTACCAAGCACCAGCAAGATGTGTCTGCCACAGCTGTTGGAGAATGGGAGAAGGAGCTGATGGAGGATCCAAAGGTATAGCATACTTCAGACACCTCATGGCGTTGAAACTGAACGTCGTAGAACCGCCTCGCCCTAGCAGCTCTCAGCTCGAACTCAGCCAACGCCGTCCTCTCGTCACGATCAGCTACGATAGCAGATACCCAGAAGTTCAGCATCAGGATACCACTTGAGGGCTCGCCCGTGACGAACCAAGCCTCGTCAGGGAGATGTTGGCTATTCGCAGCAACGAACGTTTTCCGGGTCGCAATCATGAAGAAGTACAAACTCCCAGAGTTCCAGCTATCGCAAGCCTATCTGTTCTACTGGGATAAGATTGAGAAGGCGAACTACTTTTTAGAGAGCATATTAGACACCAAGTCTGAGGAGATCGATGGTCGGTTGGTACAGGCACTGATGGCACAGCCTGTAGGCGACGGTGGACAGTGGGGTATGTTGCATCTATACACGATACCTCAAAGCTAGGCTGACTGGGAGCTCCAGATATGGTTGCCAACCTGGTCAACAAGTACGGCCTCGTCCCTCACTCGCTATACCCCGATTCCTTCAACGCTACGAGCTCGTCCACAATGGATCGACTCATCACGACGAAGCTGCGAGAAGATGCTGTCCGACTACGTTCGATCGCTACGAGCTCCGCCTCACCAGAGGTCATCAAGGCTACAATTGCGAATGAGAAGGAGAAGATGCTGAAGGAGGTCCACCTCATCCTGACCCTCATGCTTGGGCCTCCTCCACCACCAAACACAGCCTTCACATGGGAGTACTACGACAAGGACAACAACCTCTGCACTCTACGCACTAGACCCACCGCGTTCGCAAAGGAACTGTCCGACAACAGGACCGTCCGAGCGCTGTCAGGCACCGACGTGCACCAACTCTTCTCCCTCGTGAACGACCCTCGCAACCCATACAACAGACTCCTCAGCGTGAAGCGACTCGGCAATGTCTACGGCGGCCGACCCGTCACATACGTCAACGTCGACATGAAGACCATCAAGGACGCCTGCATCGCCATGTTGAAGCGAGGCATACCCATCTTCTTCGGATCAGACGTGGGCAAATACTCCGACTCCACCAAGGGCATCATGGATACAGCTCTCTACGACTATGAGCTCGGCTTCAACATCAAGCTCGGCATGTCAAAGGCGGAGCGCCTGCAGACCGGCGAGTCGCAGATGACGCATGCTATGGTGCTCACTGCGGTGCATCTCGATGACGGTAAGCCCGTGCGTTGGAGGGTGGAGAATTCGTGGAGCGATCGCGTGGGCGATAAGGGATACTTTGTCATGAGCGATGCGTGGATGGATGAGTTTGTGTACCAGGCTGTCGTCGATCCGAGCGTTGTGAGCTCGACGGTCAAGAAGGTGCTGGAGCAGAAGCCGAAGATGCTGGAGCTGTGGGATCCGATGGGTGCGTTGGCTTAGATAATTGACATACTGCTTTTCTAGTCTAATGAATCATGAACTGATGAACAGTTGTCTGTCTCGTGCAATGTCCGTAGCGTGACGTGGAATGGCGCAGGTGGTGGATGAAGCCATGGCAGTGCGTGCATTCTGAGCGCGAGAGAGTAGACGAGTCCCTCATGCAGCCTTGCTTTCTTCGTAGAGTTTTACCTCTCATATGGGGTCCAGAAGATGCGCTCGACCGGAGTGCGCAGCCCTGGAGAAATGTCTACGGGCACCTCGGTAGTGGAAAAGTAATTGTCACGTGATATACCATCAGCATCAAAAAAACCACAACACGCACAAAACGACATCCAACCAAGCAATAGACTTGAGGGGCGTTCAATCACATGTTTCAACGCTCTGCTCCCCAGCCAATGCTGTGGTCGCTCGCTTAGCCCAAAAAGTAACCCCTGGCTCCATCAACCGTCACTGAGCTCCCATTTCACCACCACGCGTCCCCAGGACACGCGGCATGGCCAAAAAAGATCCTTCCGTGCCGGGGAATCGAACCCCGGCCTTGTCGGCACTTTACAGTGGTATACTCTACTGAGAGCGACAAATCCTAGCCACTAGACCAGCACGGATCGTTGTTGGATGTTGATGGAGAGAATGCTGAAAACAAACAATATAACCATATTGAATTTAGATGCAGGTAGATGTGGTATGAATTTGAGCGGGTGGGGCACTGAGACATTATTCGGCCATGGACCATCAAATTTTCGCCGCAGGCCTCCGCTAGATCGGAGGGCATCCGACGGAGCTATTTTCACTGCGTTTGGAGCATTACGATTTGTTGCGCATTTATCGCATTATGTCTTCAACGGTAATACTGTCGACAACATCTCATGCATTTACTACTAAGTCATTTCGCTTTCTTGGTAGCTTCAAGGACTTCCTTCACATCTAAATAGCAATACATAACATTTTCTCTTCTAAATAACGATGTTTGACCTGCTCGGATTGTCATCTCGACATGACAACCCCCGATGTCGCCGAACGCGCCTGCCCCGCGAAGCAAAAAAGTCCCCGCCAAACCTCGAACATGCTGTCATAGCAGTCGAACTCCACCACTCCTCACCACAACCTCACAATGGCTCCGAGAAAGTCACCTTTTTATCTGCAGACGTGCGCGCGACCCAATATTCTGGCATTGGAGCCGTACCGCTGCGCGCGCGAGTAGGTGAAGCGCATCACTCCGTGCGCCATGCTGAAGCTAACGCGTGTAGTGACTACAAGGACGATGGCACCAATATCCTTCTCGACGCGAACGAGAACGCATACGGTCCAGGACTCGCTCTAAATGGCGACGGCAAGCTCTCGGGCGCGAATGGGAATGGCAGATCAGACTCAGCGTCGTCGATCCACGTTAACCTTCTCGGCCTGAACCGATACCCAGATCCGTACGGATAACCTCACTATGGCACAATATATCACTAACAGCATATGATCAGACACCAAGAAGACCTCAAGCAGCAACTCTGCACCCTCCGCAACACCCACGCCCACACGTCCAAGACCCTCACCCCAGACAACCTCTTCGTCGGCGTTGGCTCTGATGAAGCTATTGATGCCCTCATTCGCGCCTTTTGCGTCCCTGGACGCGAGAAGATCCTCGTTTGCCCGCCCACATACGGCATGTACAGCGTGTCCGCACAGGTCAACGACGTCGCTCTGGCAAAGGTACCATTACAAGTACCGAGCTTCGACCTTGACGTCCCGGCGATACTCGACGCACTAACAAAAGACTCTAGCATCAAGCTGGCCTATTTGTGTTCGCCCGGCAACCCAACAGGCAAGGTACTGAAAAAGGAGGACATACAGCGGGTACTAGAACATGAGAGCTGGAACGGCGTGGTGGTAGTGGATGAGGCATACATCGACTTCGCTCCCGAAGGCACAAGTCTAGCAGAATGGGTGACCGAATGGCCAAATTTGGTGGTCATGCAGACGCTGTCAAAAGCGTTCGGGCTCGCAGGCATACGGCTGGGCGCAGCGTTCGCAGATCCCGCGATCGCCAGAATTCTCAACAGCATGAAGGCGCCATACAACATTCCCAACCCCACAAGTCAGATCGCGCGCGCGGCGCTGAGTTCAGAGCATTTGGGAGTCATGAGGAAGAACGTGAGTCTAATCGTCAAGCAAAGAGAACGCCTACTCGAAAAGCTACCCAAGATCCCTGGGGTCGGCCAGCTCCACGGCGGCACCCAGTCGAACTTCCTGCTCTATCAGATCCTCGACGCACCAGGTGGCAAGCCATCGAACGAAGTTGCATTGGCGGTATACGAAGGTCTAGCGGAAGAGAAGGGCGTTGTTGTGCGGTTCCGAGGCAAAGAGCATGGATGTCTGGGGTGCTTGAGGATCACGGTTGGCACGGAGAAGGAGGTCGATCGCTTCTTGCAGGAGATAAGAACGGTGCTTGAGGGTGTTTATAAGGGTTCTGGCAAGGTAGATGCCAAAGATGAGCAAAGGAGGGAGAATGAGGCGAGTGCTGTGGTTGCGTGAGGACGATGATGATGTATGTACATAGACCGCATATTCTGGAGCTGATATAGACGAATCACAGAGTACACGGCGACATGAATGGGTTCACAGACTCATGATGGTTTCCATCGCTGCTTTCGACAGACCGGATCTTTATACTAGCATACAGAAGGCACTCGGAACCAGCATCGGGCTATTCACACAGAACCTTTGTTTGATGATCTCTGGCCCTGGTTTACACGTCCAGGCGACAACAAAGCCCATGAGTCGCTTTCCCACCAGTTTCGGATGGCTGAGCGACCCTCCTCTTCGCCATATCTCTCACCAGGCTCAATCCACACGCATACATAGAATGACCTTGGAATTTAACTCCAAACGCCGCACACATGATCTTGCAGCTTTGTTGCTTCTAGGGCATGCGCTTGAGGAGCGCAATTGTCCGAGTCCGCACCAATACACCATGTATTCATAACAGGCGATCTTTTGTGTAAGGCATCGAGGGAGTTTCAAATGCTTTCAAGTCCATGTGGGCGTAGTATGGCATGTTGAGTACTTCCAGAACTGGACATGATCGGTCGCGTTGACATTTTGTGCAAGAGAGGCACCAAAAGCATACGGCACCCATGTGCTAGCTTTTGGAGGAGACGAACCATCGTTTGGTGAATTTGTATTTTCAAGAAGAATGACGCACACTCATGATCGTGCCGAAAGAGTTTTTCGACACCGATTTTGCACGAGCGTAGTAGAGGAGAAAGAGTTGAACGCGGGAAGCTGGTGGTATTTATACCTCGAGTGGGAGCTTCGCGTCCAACATAGAATGGCATTGTGGTATTATTTGATGATCTTTTGGAGCGTCAGAAACACTGGAAGCATGATATTCTCTTGTATCTCTTTCCGGATATTCATGCGACTGGCTCCCAGTTTCTTTTGATGAGTAATATTGATATTGTACCAGTCTCAGCACACCACAAATATGGTACGGCTGTCTTAGGTTTTTTTCTTGGGTGGATCCAGGAACGGCCATGACTTCGAGCTGTCGAGCATTCTGATCCAAAGGAAGTATAGCCCTCGATGTACTTGCTTCTGGAGAGAAACGCGCACACTTATTTATTCAGTTGTCTGCATTTTTAGTTGCGTCTCTAGACAGTAGGGCAAGAAGAGAGACATGCGTAGCATTGGAAGCTCATTTATCTACGTGTCCCTCGACCCAAAGTGACAGGAATATCACATCGTCGTCACAGAATTTCGGGAGCCCAGAACGGCCTCGCAGCATATGAGGTACATGATACAGTTTTAGAAGTATCGAGGTGTACAAAGGGTGTTTTGACTCATAAAATTGATGGCCGTCGTGTTGTTCCAAGTCCGCAGCTAGACATCACCATAAGCTGACCAGTGTTATACGCCTAGAACAAGCAAGGACATAAAGACAGCATCCGGTATTTTTGGAAGACGACAGAACATGAGCTCAGTCGGTAATTCGTTCCGGAGACTGGTCCTCAGTCATGGATAGTTGGACACGCTCATTTTGGCCAACTCATGTTGGAGTGTGTAGTTGATGAATGAGTTCGTAGGGACGCGCGAGAAGTATTTATACGCCACAACCGCCGTCTTGGCCAGGACATGCAGGTAGATTCCTGGCTTTTGGAAAGTTGGAAAAGTCCAAGCAACATATACCGCACCTCGAGATGGTTTGGTGTTGTTCGGATTCTTGGGAGACATCAAGGCTTCGATGCGGCCTTTGAGAACTTCCAGACAAGTCCCCATAATAGAGTAGCCTCCAAGTTTACGGCGCGCGGTTGCTGACTCGAATCATAGAGGCGTAGAATACGTATTTTTTTCGAAGGGCGGAAAGATAATCTTCACATCAGTCGGAACGAATGTTTGTTTTGGTACAGCAAAACTGACGTTTCTTGTTGAAGAGAAGAAGAGGTGGTAGTGGAAAAAGTATATATCCCCCATCAGCACAGTCTCAGCACCTCGACATAGCTCTTCTTTTTCGATGTTTATGAGTCTAAGCTAAGCTCCTGCACATAAGATCGTAGAAACTGTGTTTCAACGTAGCATGAAGCTGTTATTGGGGTGCTTTGGAGACATCAATAGTGTATTTTTACGTTTCGATGTCTTCCAAACGCAACGTGGACCAAGTTTGTGCCAACTTCAATTTTCATCTCGAAGGAATACATGCAGAGAGCAGCGGCCGGATTCGAACACGACTCATAGTTTACGGAGGATGGAGTTTGGAGAGAGAGGACAGGACCCAAGCATTGCAGCCAATGTCGACTTTTTTTGCAATGTCACCTTGCAGTGTGTGGTTGATAGAATGATGGATTGGAATTGGAGAGGGGCTTATATACCGCGATTTCTCGATTCTTTGACGCTAGACTTCTGCACGTAGAGGTATAGGTCAGATTTTGGGAACACAGAAGACACTCGCAACATGTCGCATCCGACAGTTGGTTTTGTTCCGAGGATCATTCAAACCAACCCGAACCACTTTTGAACTCATAGCAAGCTGTGGTTATGAGTTCAGAAAGCAGTCATGCACATCGTCCGACTGTGGAATCTGACTTCCGGTGTCGCTCGGAGAGAATGTCATCAGGGCCTCGTCACCCACTTTTGAAGGCATAATCGTGTCGAAATGCAGATTCGGAAAAGCGGGAGGACAGTTCACACATGTAAAGCCTGCTCTACGGCTTTTAATCAAGCACAACTTGAAGGTGCGTTGCAAAAGGAAGGAGTAAGGGCTGCAGGTAGTATTGATACTTGCTGGAATTTCGTCCTTAATGCTGACAACGACATACCTCTAGTCAGAAGTCCTTTCGCCAACTCACAACTCACACAACCATACCCTGTTTGGGTCTTCGTTTTGGGGTCTCACACCGGCAGCAGCAGCAACATCGTGTGGCTTACTTTCAGTTTAGTCGACATTGCGTCGAAATCCAGATGATTCAACATACATCAATACCTCAGTGGCTTCCTGGAGGAGAACATATAACTCTGAGGTTTGGGCTTTTGGTTCATGAAGAAGGCGACGCGACGCTTCTGGCCACATTATTCGCGTTGTCGATTTATATGTCTGGCCAAATCATCATCGGTACCGAGT